CCCCTACTCCCGCCTGTCTTTCCTGTCACACCTTCACCGGGCAACGCCGCCTCTGTGGAGAGATGCTTCGCTGCGCTACCCGTTCGCTTGCGCTGCCAGCCCGGCCAGCAACCGGCCCTCTGGTCTTGCGCGCCATGCACACGGTTGTTTCCTCGGCGCCGCAGTCGCAGCCGCCCCCGGCGGCGCAGCCGCCTCCCTCTGGCCCAAGCGGCGCGGCCACCCCCGGGAGCCCTCATCCCGCTCCCGAGGGCGGCTGGCAGGCCCGCCTACATGAGGCAATCAACATGACCCGAACCTTTGTATGTTGTCACACCTTGCCCTCCTGCCCCATGCGCCGTGGCGCTGCGCCACTCGACTGCCGGTCCCATGTCATTTGCCAGCTAACCGCGGCTGGGCTCTTCTTCTGCCGTCCCTCTGCCATCCGGAACAGATCCGCGGTTTTGGCCTCTTCAGCCGGCAAATGATGGACGCCTCCCGGATAGGCATGCTCACCAAGCAGGAGGACCGTACCCGGGAGCAAAACCTGACAGTCAACAAGTGCGCTCGATCTGCTCGCGCGTGCATCCCCATGGCCAACGCCCCCGCTTGCCACTCGCATTTGCTGATGCCTTTCCTCCTCACCCACAGGGCCAAGCGCAATGGCATCGCCTTCATTCCCTTCCTCCTGGTGTCAGCTCTGCCAGGCTCTTTCGCCATCCTTCCCATCTACATTGCTCGCCTGCCGCACCTGCTGCCGCCGATGTTCATCCAGAAGGACACCCTGGTGCGCTCCCGGCCAGCTACCCTTTCGACCTGCCTGCCCCCTCCCCCCCCCCCCCCCCCCCCCCCCCCGCTTCTTTCCCGGCGTTTGTCTTTTCCCTTGGCCATCTTGCCGCTCTAACTTGGCCTTTCTGTGCGCCACTTCATCAGGTTCAGTCGAGTCAGCGCACCCTCACATCTCAGATCTACTCGCGTAAGGTGCTGCTGGAGACCTTTTCGCAGATGCTGGCTGACTCCGACGAGGGGTGTCAGCGTGCCGCCGCGGCGCTCGAGCGTCTTCGTGCCAATGTGGTACGATCCTCCGGCCGATCTCATGCAATGTCATGCAGCTTGTCCCCCCCCCCCC